AACAACAAAACGAATTGATCGATAAGAACAGTAAAGTTGAAACGTAGCTATGCTAGCAATATTTGTGCAATGCCCCTTTTCAAGAAACAGGGCGAAGGTACATTCGCGTTTTGTCAGGCTTACATAAGTTCTGACGGAGTGTTTTATTTAGGAGAGCCCTAAACATGCACCCTGAAAGCTGCAACATATTTTCCAAGCGAAGAAATTGTCCTTTACTTATGCGATGGCCCTTACTTTTTAACATTCAAAGCAGCGTATACGCGTGAACTTTTTTTTTTTTTCATTGGTCACTTTGCACGGATAGTCAAAACCAATGCGTTGTGGAGAATTCGTCTGCTAGCGGAAACTCCGAGCTCACCAGGGCCGCTGCGATCACTTTTCGCCCTCGCTCCGTGGGAGTCACCAGTATTAGCTAGCACGGTATTTGATCAAACAGTCCCCATGCTGCGCGCCGACACTCCGCGCAACTCTCGGCTTCGCTCGGGGAAACTTTAATATGATCTCAGACAGGACCGTACGGGGAGACTTGTCAGAACCGCCACGGGTTCGCCAGGCGACCGCTTTCCGCTCTCAGTGTCGACCTACACAAGGGCGCGTCCGACTTTCGCCAACGTTTCGGCGCTCACATTAGCAGACGGCTTTCTGAAGAAGCTATGGCGTTTCCCGCTTCTGACTTAAGACGCTGCGCTTTCGCGTTCCTCTATAAAGAAGAGGTTTTGCTGCAATAAAGACGCTGACAATAGCAGACGGACTTTATCGTGCCGAAGGAGACGATGAGATGGCAAGATCATGCGCCTACTTGGGCTCTTAGGCCGTGGGCTTCAATGGGCGGAACCTGAACAAAAATAGTTTGAAATAAAAACTTGACGCAGATGGGTGATCTTCTTCAGCACCTAACGTCTGTACGATCGTAACATGAAAAGTATGCTTTTAGCTCGCAATTTGTACGGAATTTTTAGTACTGAGAGTGAGGCCGAACACCGATGTGCCCACAAAACAGACAACACTATATGCAGTACTTCGATACCATGTACTTGTTTAGATGCTTATTTTGGCAACTGTGCTGGCTAAAAGGGTGAGCATGGCCATGCTCCGTGAACGGTAGGCACGAAACGTCTATTGAAAGCTTGTTACGTGATAAGGAGCAAAAGCTATTTAAATGTTTTGCAATCAATGCTTAGCTGACCGTGCGATTACAGGTAATACATTTTGAACAAAAAACTAATGCATAATTTACGTTTGAAATATTTATACTGCAAGAGCTCAGTCTGGCCTTAGAATAGGGTGAATCAGATTCGGCTTTGTGGAGAAACAACATAACCGTTGTACTTTGACAGCTGCGGTCTTTAACGTGAATCACGCAGTCGTGGTGTATCTACCGCACACTGGAATGCTGCACGTTCACATCGAAACGGGCAGGACGGGGAGAGAGCTAGTCTGGTTCTGAAACAAGAACGTTCGGGCCATAACCTCTATGCTGCTGGGCGCTACAGTTTCAATAGGATTCAGTTCTTGAAGTCCTACCAAGATATTGTGTACATTTGTGGTGAAGAGTCTGGCTCGATGTACTAAATCAATTTGTTCATTCATTCAACTCTATTGCTCATGCTTATTAACAGCTAATTCCCGAATAATAGTAGAAAACCTCATTTTGTGTGCCAATAATCTCTATGGAATTTGTATGAGTAACGAAACTGCCGAAGAGTGTATGTAACGAAACTGCCGAAGAGTGTATTTAACAAAAACAGCAATAACGTTAAATAACGTGCAATAAATAAAAGTACGTAAATAGCACACAATATTCCTGCCATATTTTAAGAAGTCCACGGAGAAAATGTCGGAGACAAACGCAAAATATTTAAATATTAGTCAAAGAACGCTTGAACATTTGCATACAGGAGTTGAAGATGCCGATGTTCGTTGTACAGAACGTACTATAAAAACGTTTTATTAGGTTCATGAGTCTGGTTAGATTGGTCTTTCACACTAAGAAAGTGCGTGTAGCTCTTAATATCACCCTCGGTATATAGAGGTCGATATCCGACGTCAAGCTCGGATAGCGAATCAAACTGTGCAAGCATTTATGTAAAAAAAAATAGATCGCTCTATTTTTATGGAGTTTAGTGCCAGACAACCGTATCATCACAAGAGTCTCGCGTAGTTGAAATAAACAGTGCGACCAAAACAGCGGAGTAAATATTAGGGGAAAAAAAAACGTCTTCACTTTTTCTATCATTGCTTGGTTAGTAGAATCAATGGAATTCCAAACGGCAGAATGAGATTCTAGTTACGTGCGCATAAAAAAATGGTATAAGACGAACATAAAAATTCACAATAGAAGTTGTTGTTAAATACTATAAATAATCTTTAACTTTCGAAACACAGTAGTTGTAATGTTAGGGACATGTTAATTGAAGGACAAAGTTGAGTCAACATATAGTGCTAGATCTCTCTGACACTCAAGCCCAAGAATAGGGGACGAAACTACCGTTTTATTAGGATTTAGAGTTATAATATTGCGGTCGCGCCAATAATGCACCGCGTTAGCCTTACTCATTAGTAGTACACAGTCATGACTAGATGAAAGCTGCCGAAACAAAATGTCATCAAGATATTGCAAGATATTTGAATGGCGGATACAGAAACTCAGATCATTTATGAACACACTGAAAATACTTGGCCATAGTAGGAACTCCTGCGGCACACTCGAGTATGATGAATAAGGTATAGTATGATGTACCTAAAATTTAAACAAATTGTTTCTTTCTCACAAATAACTTATAAATAATTAGAAAACCTTTTTATCCACTCCATATGACCTTAATTTATGTAAAATTATTAAATGATCATCCAAGTCAAAAGAATTTTACAGATTAAAGTAGACGGTATTTTCTCCACGCGCTCGCTGACAATCAGTGGCACTAAGTTTAGAAATGATGCAAGATTAGTCTCGACAGATAGAACAGTGGTAAAACCATATTGTGATATGCTTTTTTTTTTGTTAAAAATTGCATTTCCCGGTCATCGCTACAAGTAAAGGTGAGTGGGAACGCTATAGGACATTGTAAGGATTGAAATGTTTAAAGATTTGTGACCACAACAAAAATTTGAAGCAATTAAGCCTGATGATAGACGAAAAACAGCGAGTAGTCATGCGAGTTGCTGGATGTTAAACATAAAGAAAATTTAACTAGACTCTGGTGAACGTTTGCGAACATTTTTTTATAATAATTAATTTTTATCAACGACACGTTATAGATGTATAAAGACGAGGAAAAAAGCGGTTCATAGTCAGCTTGACGATCCCTCGGCCCAAGACACAACGAAGTATTTAAAAAAGTACAAAAAGGCAAAAAAAAATTATTCAATCCTATTATAAAAACACAGCAAAAAGCACAAACAGCATAAACACACACTATCGTTCTATAAAAAAAAATACATACGACAGATTTCAGAAAATAGAACTGTTTCTATAGTTTTTTTTTGTCTACACAATTCAAAAACTTAGTAGGCGTAAACTTGAGCATTTGATAGCGATAGTTAGTTTTCAATCTAGAAACCTTCGAACTTTCGGCAGAACGAGGGGAGTAAACAGGCATAGAACCATATAAGGGGCTATATTATTCAATAAAATTGATTTTTTATGTGTATAAGCTAGTATATAAGCTAGTAATTGTATACCTTTTGAATATCAAGCACTTGAAGGCGTTTGAATAGCTGCTCGGTATGATAATTATATAGAACACCTGAAGTAATTCTTCAAATTTTTCTGTGATATATATAGGTTTTTTTTTTTTTTTAAGTTTGTGAAAGTAGTATGGCCCCAAACCAGATGACAGTAGGTTAAGAGAAATAAAAGATCGAATTTTAAACAAATACTTTCACAGAGGCCGGGAGCACATATTGATGACAGTATGTTAACCATATGTAACACGTGAAAACTTAGAGTTAACATGATGTATATTATCATCCCATAACATGCTTCCTGAAAAATAGCCCCGAAAGTTTTATGACAATTTACATTTTCTATTGTGCATGAACTTAATACAATGCCTTTGGTCAAAACCACCGGTTTGTTCTTTTGTAGAAGAAGAAAGTTTCAAGCAGAACTCCAAAGGGCCTTATGAGAGCAAATGATTCAGTCTTGGGAAGTTCGGCGTTTGCTATGATAGTGTGCAGCTACTATTGTTGGGGTTCTATTGTCCGATAACTGAAGTTCCCAGTTCTATATGGGGTCACCGTTTCGCAGTAGCTGACATTGAGACGTTCCTTTTCCGTGTCCTTTTGCTTCTACTAAGTTTCGCATCTTTGAGCACAGTCTAAGGTAATTTTCAATAAGATCGGATTATAGGTCGTCCGACTAGCTATACTATATACACTTTTGAATTACACTAATCCTAGAAATTGCAAAGTAGTCAACTAAAGTGAGGTAACTGGCATGTTCGCTGTATGGTTACATGACCGGCAGCTCTCAGCAATTACCCATACTTTTAGCTTAGAACACACTGCCCAATGTTAGGGCACACGTTCTAACGCTTTCTGTGATACAAATTCTGAGTCTTATAAAAATGCGCAACTTCGTCTGCAGGCTGAATCAATTTTCAATTCTTATTTAGTGGAAATATGCCAGCCAAGTAAACGATTACGTTGCTTGTTTCAGCATTTGCTTGAATGGCGCTACCACATTCTTAATTATTACGTTGAATAGCTCCGATAGAATTTAGGTTCAAAATTTGGTTTCGCCTATTTTGGCTTTTTATGAATAATAATAAATAAATAACGTACGCCTAAAATACATATATTAGAATTATTCATAATTATTATGATTGAAATCTGCAATACCCACAAAAAAAAGTATCGGACAAAGACTTTATGTACATTTAGAAAAGGCAGTCATTTTGAATGCAGATGAATTTTGTTTAAAAAAAGAACAAATTATTCTATTTCAAAGGTATAGTTAACGTAACGGATTTATGGGGAGCTTGAAACGTTTTGCTTACAGCTTTCTTGGCTTTGGGATGAAACGTTTTGTCCACATAAAGACGACCTAGTGCGTGTGGAATTAAGTGTGATATTTTGGTGAGACACTTCTTCCACAGTGGTTCGTCTTTCTGTGCGCCTAATTTCTCTCTATCGAAGTCAAAGAAGACGTTGCCAAGCTCTTTGGATGTCATAGCACCATAAATTCGAATCCAAGTCCAGTACACATAATTGTACAGCGTAGATCTGCGGAAAGGTGCATCAGATCACGTACATATTAGAATGACGTTTGTGATTAGGTCGCCACATTCATCCAGCGTAAGTGTTCACCTCTATGTCTAATATATTACTGACCGACGCTCGTCCAAATGAGCAGGAGTTGTAAGACAATACCATAAATATACTTAAAATATTGCCACTCGCATCTCCAAGCAAGCGCGCCCGTGGCTAAACGGCTATTGTACATGACTCCGACACAAATGGTCCGAGGTTCGATGCCTGGGAGCAGACGCAACTTTTTTATATTCCTGTAAATGTCGCGTTCTGGTAAATGCGAGAGCCCTTTTGCCTGTTCGAGAACCGAATGTGGTACGCACCGAGCTTTCTTCACCAATTGTTCCAGAAGTCCACGTGTGGACTGTCGGGAGCAAAGGGTTGGATAAGACCGGAACGCCGACCAAATTGCATCGCCGCGCTCCCTGACTGCGAGTTGCCTGCTGCCGAGACCCCCGCACTCCGCACGCGTGTCCTTTTTATCTGCTGGCATGCTCGTTTCCGCGCTTCAGCGCGACACGCTACGGTATGAACGAAACGGCGATAGACGCTGCTCCAGCAGCCGTGAGTCAACAATCTTCGCTCATCGCTCTGGACAGCGGCTGATCGACCGATCGCGCGTGCACTGGGGCACGGGCAGTGCACAGGACTCTTTCGAGGGATTAGGTGCCGCGTTAAAAACAATCGTCTCGTTTTTTTTTTTTTTGTTTCTTTTTAATTCTTTATAATTTATAGAACAATTCGACTTCACCAGCCAGTTTCGTTATACCACACTTCATGGATCGCGGGGCTTGTATTTTTGCACGGAGGCGGACGCGATCACAGAATTGGTCGCTTTTCTGCAGCCGAAAATAGGCCGATCTTTGTGGAGTTCTGTTCATTTAAAGATGAGCAGAACATTCTTTCTAACGCGCACAAACTCAAAGGCAGTTGCTTGTGTCTTAGCGAAGACTTTTCGTTACGTGTAAGATTTAAAAGGAAGAAACTTCTTGACTTTGCGAAGGACCATGATGAAAATTTTAAACTACGCTTTATTAAGCTTATCGTGGGAAAAAAGACGTTTACCTATGATGCAACAACGGATCGTGTTGTCGAAAATATCTAATAGCAATCAAGCACCCCCGTCAAATACCGCAAAAGTAAGCCACAGGAACTTGATTTTATTGCTGTAAACTGTCGCATATCAAGAATAAATCGGATGAGCTCGCCGACCTCATTACTGCTACTAATCCTGAAATAGTTATAGGTACCGGGTTGTGGTTGGATGGTACTGTTTGTGACGCGGAGGTATTTGCCTCCAAAAACAATGTCTATCGATGGCTGACAGGTACAAAAACGCCACCTCCACGCTTATGGAGGTGGAGTTTTTGTACTTGTCAGCCATCAAAAGCATTACGTTAAATATGAATGACCGCTCCTGTAAAGCTGTCTGGTGCAGAATAGAACTGGCAAATGCAAAACAGCTAGCCGTTGGTTCCTTTTACAGGCCTCATGGGGGCAGGGATACAAAGCCACTCGAGGCGTTATCGAATGCTTTGTCAGTGCTGACCTCTGATTACATCGTCGTAGGTGGTGATTTTAATCTTCCCAAGATTGACTGGCAAGATAAACTTCCTGTTACACGGTGCAAATCCAGCCTTTACACGACTTTAGAATCCCTATTTATCGAAAACAGTCTTTATCAGTTTTGTGAACGTTCCAACAAGATTTGGCGGGACAAGCGCATCGACTTTAGATCTTGTGTTTAGCAACCACCCTACGCTTGTAGGTTCTGTTACAACAATTACGGGGATTAGTGACCACGAGGTAGTCGTTGGTGACATTGGCTGTGAACCACATGACATTAAGAGACCGCCTTCGAGGAAAGTATTCTTTTATGATAGAGGAAATTTTGAAGACCTTTCGAATAACCTATCTTCTCCCAGAGTTTGAAGAATATGAATATTAACAGTCTGTGGAATCTTTGTAATAGCGAACTTGCTGAATTCGTTGATCGTCATGTAGCGTCCAAAATTATCACCAGAAAGCGTATAGTTGATAAACCTTGGGCAAATAAAGAGCTGCGCTCACTTATCAATAAGAAACGTGGGCTGTATTAACGTTACCGCAAAACACAGTGTAGTGACGTACGCGATCGGCTCGAGAGGATCGGCTCTTCTTTAAAGATACATATGAAAGAAGCAAATTCAAACTTTTTTGTTTCTATTAAAGACAAATTGGTGAGTAATCCAAAAGAAGTGTGGAAGTATGTAAAATCTCATAGGAAAAGACGAAGTTGGTATTCCCGCGATCTTTGACGGACAGGGCACTGTCTCTCACGATCTCGAAAAGGCGGCATGTTTCAACACGTATTTTCACTCGGTCTTTTCACAACCATTTAACCGGGCTATGCCAACCACGGCGGAGTCTATCTCTGAGGTTATGCCCGACATTGTTATCTCCGAAAACGGTGTTTTTTTTATTTACTGCAGGGTCTAAATTCGGGGGCTGCGCCCGAACCAGACAGTATTTCTAACCATGTTCTGAAGAATTGTGCGCGTGCATTGACCCCCTTTTGGTTACACTGTTTAATAAGTCCTTAGAAAGCCGTGAACTCCCTTGTGAATGGAAGACTGCCAATGTTGTTCCATTACACAAATCCGGTGCTAAATGCACCGTCATGAATTATAGGCCTATTTCACTCACCAGTGTATGCTGCAAAGCCTTGGAACATATTATTTATTCTAACCTTTTGAAGCATCTTGAAGCTAGGAAATTTTTCACACCTCACCAACATGGTTTTAGCTCTGGCCTCTCTTGTGACACCCAGTTGAGTGAATTCACCCACGATATTTTGGCTTCTTACGACAAAGGTTTACAGGTTAATTCTGTTTTTTTTTATTTTCAGAAGGCTTTTGATGCCGTTTCTCATGCTCTTTTTTGCGTAAATTGTCGTTTCTGGGCTTACCTACGTGTGTTCTTGGGTGGCTAGAGAATTATTTATCAGACAGAAAACAGTGTGTCATTATTAACGGGGTAATGTCATCCTATGTCAACGTAACCTCAGGGGTCCCTCAAGGTTCGGTCTTGGGGCCATTGCTTTTTCTCGTCTATATTAATGATACCAGAAACAGAATAACGTCTAGTATAAAGCTTTATGCGGACGACTGTGTCATTTATCGTAGTCTCCAAAATGCATCTGATGTTGCAGTTCTCCAGTATGACTTGGATGTTGTCTTTGCGTGGTGTGACAAGTGGAAAATGAGTTTATACTAAAAAAAAGTGTTGTTTTATTAGTTTTACCAGAAAGCGTAAGCCTCATTTATCGAACTATCATTTGGGTCATCACTTTCTTGATAGCGTTAACAATTTCAGTACTTAGGTATATACTTTTCATCTGATCTGACATGGAATAAGCAAATAGACTAAGTGATTAATAAAGCAAGCGGTGTTCTAAACTTTATTAAACGCGATTTCAAAACCGGGACAGCGCTTCTCAAGGAGGCGCTCTGCACAACACATGTGCGACCAATTTTGGAATACGCATATGCAATATGGGACCATCATTTTGAAAATTTAATTTATGAACTGGAACGGATTCAGAACCGTGCAGGTCATTTTGTAACCAGTACCTATGATTTTCGTTCGAGCATCACTAACTTAAAAAGGTCACATAAATGGGGTCTCCTTTGCCAACGAAGATAATCTTTATGGTTGAATCTATTTTACGCTATTTACAGTGATCACACCGGAATCGATAAAATTATTTATATGCAGGCACCAAATTACGTATCAAGAAGAAGGGACCACCAGATGAAAGTTCGAGAAATTAACTGCCTAACGGATGTTTTCGCCCACTCTTTTTTTTCCCCATACTATTTCCGACTGGAATCGTCTGGACAGCTCAATTGTCGATTCTCCTGAAAACATGTTCTTCTCAGTTTTACAAAACTTTTGTTTTCAATAGGTATCTAGAACTTATATGTTATTTTATGCCTTCTTGTTATTTCACTTGTTTGTCGTGTATTTTCTTTTACGTAACTCCCCTACAATAATGACCTTTGGGCGATGTAGGTATGTGCATAAATAAAATAAATAAAAACGTAGCCTGACCTACACGCGAGTTCTGTTTCCCCGCTAAATTTATCAGGGAAATTGACATCACGTGTACTGATGTAATGTGGCCTATACACCAATTCTGCTTCCCCGTCAATTTGAGCTGGACATTTACATTACATGACAGTGATTCCATACCGCTGTGACGTAGGTGAATTCAAATAGCAAGTTATATCACGCAGCACGCTCGCTCGCCCCGAAAAAGAAGCGCTGAACCCGTCTAGGGACAACTATCCAGTGTAGACATGCCACGCGTTAAATTATCTGATAAAGAGCGTCGGGAACTCAGGCGTCTGGCGTATGAAAACGCATGGTATCGCTAAACGTTTGTGACGGAAGAACATTTTTTTTTATCTTCTCTTTTATAAATGACATTCTAACGCCTCCTAAAAAAATTATGCGATCAGTCCTTAAATACTGCATTCCATGCAATATAAGGCCTTAAAGGTAAAGGTTTCTTATAGTTTTGAATGCTGCCCACCTTCAAATGTTATAAACCTACGGAGAAGTTGAACAAATATTGTGTGGCAAGTAGTTTTGTGACATATAAGCATGATAATTGTATAAGCCTATGCACTGACTTACATATTTGCTTTTTCCAGAATTTCCTGAATATTGTGAAAATAAGCAGGCTCCATTACAATCACACGTTCGCCCTGATCCAGTGTCATATTGGCATATGCAAACATATTATTGAATAGTTTTAGCCATTCAATCTGTAAAGTAACAACGAAAAGAACAGGGTAACATACCGTTAGGATTACATTTCTGCAAAACAATTTCCAGATGTCCACAAAGATCGAAATTATATTACAATGTAAAACAAAAAAATGCAACTTATACGGGGCTTTGTTCATTTCATTTCATTTCATTGTATTACCTTAACAAAACCTTGAAGGTTACTACATGGGCGTGGGTATATAAATGGGTAAACATGGATGCCAAACAATTTTAAAGCGAGACACCTGGTGTTGCAGTTTTCTTAAATGTTGATGGGCAAGTGATTTTAACAGTGTCCTGAGAAAGACCGTTCCAGTTCAGAGCTGCTCGGGGGAAAATGAAGCACAAAGGGTAGTAGTGCGGGTGCTTGGGCGGGCAACTTGGAGAGAATGACAGGTGCGCTGCGATGTGCGTGCAGGGGATGAAATATAGGGCGGTTCTCATAGCGGTGAATGAAAAAAGACGCATTAAACTAAGAGACGCTGGTGATGCGGTGACGACTGGAAAGAAGCGGGAGCCCTGATTCATCTTTAAGATGAAATGCTCATATTGTATGAATATAACGAATGAATGAGCCAAGTAGCATGAATTTGGGCACATTTGAGTTCGTTAATTAGATATATATTTGATGTGGGCTACACATTGCATCCACATACTCTAGCTTTGATCAAATAAGCGATTTTTAGGCGAATCGCTTATCCGATTACCGTCAAAATCTGGAAACTTTGAAAAGCTTTGTAAGTTCTTCAAAATTTCTGAGGCCAAATATTGTATTAGCAGAAATGCTGCAATATAAACCCGCACTCTCTTTCAGAATGGTCTGATTGACATTTCCGATTGTAGCTTTGCTTAACGAGACATTTAGAGGGCATTATTTTGAATGCTGGAATAATAGAAAACTATATTTTCAATCCCGAATTAAAGGGGAAGGATATTACGAAAAGTTATGTTTTTAATTTATACACAATTTATTTTGCACAAGGTTGGCAATATAGAAAATTAATCTCTAAATTGTTTCCGATAGTTTTATTATTTGAAGAGCCTTAAAATATGTAGGCACTTGGATTCCACTGCAACTGCCTTCTGAGCTTCATTTTTTGTGTCACTCCAGTAGCGCAAGAGGTGGGGCCCATGTGGGGCCCACCTGGGCTATGGGGCTCGGGCAGCCCCTACGTAATCTATGTTGTCCCACGTGGGCGCAACGTGGGCATGCCCACGCAATACGCTCGTGATCTCTGCTGCGTGAGGGCGCACCCAGTTCGGCCTGTCGGTGCAATAGCGCCGTGGGTCCCACTTCAGCTATGCGCGGGCAGAGTTAGTGCAGATGTGAGCTTCATGATCCAAAATATGGTGATGCTCAACTTGGGTTGCGGGTGCAATGCTTCCGTGGATCCCATCTCGGTAATGCGGAGGCACAGTTAGCGAAGGTACGGTCAAAGCGTGGGCACGACCGAGTTGGGCTGTACATGTAAAATTCCCGTCGGTCCAACATCGGCCATGCGGGAGCCAAGTGGCGATGATGTGGGCTCCACAGCAGCGAAGCGCGGGCATGCCAGACATGGGCTGCCCACGTAAGACTCACTTGGGGCCAACCTTGGCTCTACGGGGGCCAAATCTGATGATGTGGGCTTCATGGCGGCTAAGCTTTAGCGTGCCCGACTTAGGCTGCCCATGTAAAACCCCCGTGGGTTCCATCTTAGTGGGGAGGGGGGGGGGGGGGGGGCAAGTGTTTGAAAAAAGTGGGCTCCACGGAAGCAAGGCGCGAGCATGGCTAGCTTAGGTTGCACATGTAGGATCGTCGTGGGTCCCACCTTGTCCATGCGGGCGACAAGTTGCGATAATATGGGATCAACGGTAGTAAGCATTTGCATGTCCGACTTGGGCTGCCCACGTGAAACCCCCAATGGACTCGCCTCGTCTCTAAGAAGGCCAAATGCGATATGAGGTTTCCACGGCCGGTGAAGCGTGGGCGTGCCCAAGTTGAGTTACCAATGTAAAACCCCCGTGCGTCCCGCCCCGGTTCTGCAGGGACTGATTTTAGGAAGATGAGGGCTCCAAGGGGACAAAGCGTGGTCATGTCCACTTGGACTACCTGTGCTACTATATCAATGGCATTTTCCGCTGATATTGAGTATATATACTGCGCATTGTGGTAATTCAACATAAGAGGTTTGTTTAGTTTAATATTAAATCATCCAGAACTGCAACTTTAAGCGTGAGAAAAAAAAAGTTAGGCTTGCAAAATATTGCTAAATTACTACTCATTGTGTATATAGAAATGGCCACATTACATGGGGTGAAACATTTGCCAAGAGTACTTAATTTAAGTGTCAACTCGAAGCACGCCCGTCGGCGTGTCTTATGCCTGTAGCTGGCTCAGGCTGGCTACGCATCCTTATTGCCTGTCAAACATAATTTTATTTGAAAACGTGCAGATGTTTTGTCCTATTTCGTACTCTTATGATGCCCAATTTCTCACGGTCGTGTTCAAGACGTTTTATTGACCTATCAAAATCGTAATACTTTCATTATTCACATGAGAAAATTGAGAGATGTTCAATTTGCGATGAACTGTAATACCGTAGGGAAATGATGAAATTACCCTGAACAAAATAGGGTTTCTGGGGGAACCACATGTTGGCTGCCAACGTAGGCCCAGTATGAACCCCCGCAAAGGGGGGAAGGTTCCCTTGTGGGCTGCCCAAGTAGACGCACTGAGTGTCCCACGAAGGAAACCCATGCGATCTGCCTAAATGGGCACCCCGTGGGTGCCTATTTAGGCACCCACAGGGTATTCTAAGGTAGCCCACGTGAGCTGCCCAAGTGGCCACCACTTGATCCCGAGTTGCAAAACCGACGTGGGGCCCCCGTCGGCACCGTATTTGAAGCCCACCTTGTGCTACTTGGGCAGCTTCGCATTGCCAAGTTCCAGAGCTTACCTTTGATAATGAGTTGATCTCCTAATTTACGATATGGTGGCTGTCTAGGCCACAGAAGAGGGCTCATCGTGCTCTCGGCCCCCAATTACATTATAATAAAGCTCAAGCTCTTAAAACAAAAACGATCAAACAAAATATAATATTCACAAGGAAACGTTGATAACCCTTGTTTGCGCCGTTCAGGAACAACACAGACATGCTGCACAAAGCGATTCATTATTCTGTACTCGGCGATTATATATAGGGAGTTTTAGTTTACCGTTTTCGAAGGCCCGTTACCGCTGCGGGCACGCGCTTCAATGCAAGCATCGAATAGACCTTTTGTCAGATTACTCAAGCATCAATGAGAATGCAGGGGTTGGTGTTCCACGCGCAGCACGTGCCGGCGTCTGCAGCTGTAACCGTTCTAAAGGAGATGCCTACAATAAGTTGCATCTTGCACGCGCGTTCGCCAACGCTTTATTTTGGTTATTTACTTCGAATCTTTTACACGGGGAACGCGTAGGCGTGTGGGGCGTGAAGCACCAATCCCTGCAATCTTCTTGATGCTTGGGAAATTTGGGAACAGGTCTATTGGGAGCGAGAGCTCCCGCTACAAATATCGCGGCCTGAAAACACGATCTACTAAAACTCTCATGTATTTCTGCCACATTGTCAAGGCTAGTTTCGTCTCTGCAATGATCCTTTATTAAAAAGCTATACGTTACAACACGCAAATAGTTTACTTTTATTGAACAGTTCCTAAAATATAACAAATAATATAGAAACATAAATATACAACGAATAATATAGCAAAATAAAAAGATAGCAAATAGCAAACTACAGCTATTTAAACATATTTGCAGTTTGCCTAAGTGAACACCTTATTTGCCAGAAAGGGTCGAATCGTGAACTCTACCACCAAAATACGAAGTACGCTAGAAGTATATTTGGTGTACACATTAAGTCTACTGAAACGTACTTTAGGCGATCTTTTTTGCTTTCTGAATGTGCAAAGTTAGTATCCTTAATTTCTATCGCTTTTATCAACGGCTCTGACGCTGTCAAAGCTTCTTGCGTGCATTCGTTTGGCGCTAATTTTCGCAGAAAAGCGCGAGCGGATGAGTCGCGAAAGGCGACGTGCTCTCGCAATAGTGCTGCGCTTCAACACGATGGAGGATATACTGAGATTGACCACAGAGAGCGAATAAGTTTGCGCCGAGCTTAGGCAACGACTTCCAACTGTGAGACATCTGCCTTTTTTGCGGTTGAGCAAAGAACGAGCTCTACTTTTGAGGGAGAAGTGTTACACGGATATGTTGCATTCAATTTTAAAAGCGCTTTCACAACTCCAATTTTGTTTTTCCTCATAACTAATAAAAAAGGCGCCACATAAAAATATTCAACGTACAGAAACATATTTTACATGTGTTTCCGGGTCTTTCATGTCTCTGCCAATAGGCAGAAAAGAAATCCGGTAATTTATTCACAATATGCGCTGACTCATATGGCGAGTAAATTAGAGGATTCCCAACGTGTAGTAATGGCATTTATAAAACTTTTTGTTTCGTTCTTGCGAAGGCATCATGCCACTTTTCTTTTTAAAATATCAAAGCCAAAGCACTCAAGTAGCCGAAACAAGCGCTCCGACCTTTCCTTGTCTCGTGCAATTGCTCTTATAATGAAGACTTTCGACTGGTTATCCAGCCGTACTGAGAGTCAGCCGGAAATGAACGGTGACTCTCCTGTTTTGATGTTTTCGTGACAGCTTACATAAACACTTTGAGGAAAGTGTGATTCAATGCTTGGTTAAGAGTTTTGTGCAGTGCATGATCACAATAATATTTCGGACGGAGATCCAGACAATGCGAGAACGAGAAACATCATGTATGCTATCATGTTACGACACTTCCGTTTCGGTGCAGCAAGAGGCAGCAAAGACCCGTTGTGGAATTCATTATTTTTTTATCGCACTGAAGCAACTTTCATCATGTAAATAGGGATGATAATACCTAGGGATTAGTTTCAGCCGCTTGGGGCAATACATATACAATTTGGGGTGTCTGTGCTCCTTCAGG